TCTACAATTCGGTTTTTTGCAATTATCGTATTACGTTGGGCCAACATTTGGCCAATGATTTGATTTTTAGATTTTTAAATATATTAATGATTTGATTTTTAGATTTTTAAAGCAATACAAGATTGAATTTAGCAGAAGGCTAAACTTCTGCTCTGGAGACAAAAAAGGAAAACAGCGAAAATGACCAGTCAAAATAAAGATTAAAGAGACAAAAAATTGTGTATATCTTGGTGTAGATGATTTATCCTCATTTTCTTATAATAAAACAAAAAATATTATTAAACTTTGGGGTTTACCTGTAACTCCAAACTCTTTGCAGAAATTTAATGTTTGCTCTGAGAAGTTGAATGAACAAAATTTATTAAATGGTAAGTTTTTATATAAAAGTCTTTATGTCTGATGATTGAAAATCTTTATTCATAGCTTTAACTTTTACATATATTACAGTCAAAAAGTCAGAGCGTTAATTAACATTTTATTGTGTAATAATCAACATATCAAAGCTTACACAACAGGCTTGGGTGGGAAGTAGGAGCGATCGCTCTCGAATACTGACCACGGAAATTATATTTAGTTGCAAAAAATTGGCCAGGTTTTTTAGTTGTTTTAAGTTTATGAACGTAACAAAAAATTTTTGTTGGATTTTAAAGTTGTTGTCACTAACTTTGAAATCCATTTGAAATCCATTTTATAGATGGTATTATTTTTAAAAATTGTATTATTAAAATTCAGAACTAAAATATCTAAAAAAAATTATTTACAAACATTAGACAAGGTCCGTACTTTGCCTTAAAAATCTGGAAAACTTGTTAATATTGGCTAAAGTCGTGGAAAACCTGGAAAAGTCAGGGAATTATTTTTTTCTTTAGATAGTCATGGAAAAATCAGTAATTCTAGTTAAGAAGTTACTCGTTTCACTATTGAATGCTGTATTTTGAAAACGTGATGAGTCACACTTTTTTTAAAAGTGAGGTTATTCAAAAAGAATATTTTTTTATTTTGGAATAGATAAAATAAAGATTTTTTTAGATAATAGAAACAATTTTTAGATAAAATAAAACTAAAATTTTTTACAAGAGAAATGTTTTTCACTCTCTTTTGAAATTTTAATTTTGTGACGTCACATTTTCAAAATACAGCGTTCAATTAAGCTATTATATTTTTTTGGTGCTACTCATTTATTTTTTTCTGAAACTTATGTTTTTCTTAGTGTTTATTCTTAGTCATTCTTAATAATAAGATCCATACTACGTGTATAATAAGATCCATACTAATATCCAACTTAACTTAAAGATAAATTTTATAAGTTTTGTTATTCAAAGCATGTACAATCTTAGCATTTCCATTACAGTAGATAGTAATTTTAAACATTTTGTAGAAACCAGCGTTAAAAATGGTCAAATAAATTCATCTGATGTTTTAAAAAAGTCATTGAATTTTATATAAATAGTTGGTTATGAACCCTGTTGGAGAAACATTGTTTTAGTATGAATTTTTTTGTTTTACAGTGCAATTTGTATTTTATAAGGTTCACAAAACGATTCTCGTTAATGTTTAAGCTTAAACATTAAGGAGAATTGTTTTGTGTCAGTGCCAGAAATTGAATGCACACCTGCAAATTTCATAATTCATAATGATCCATTAGCGGGTATATATTTTTATCATTAAAAATTTGACCCTCTTTCTTTAATTTTATCTGTTTTATTAGTGATTGTTGTATTTACTTTCATAAATTCTAAATATAATATGTAATTAGTTATATAGTTTCATAATAATATAATTAACTTTATTGTTTCAAGTTGTATCCTTGAAAGATCTGCTGGTATTATTGACACAATGGGCAAGCATTGAAGTGCAACTTGGTGAACTACAAAACACATCAAATTCAGTTATAAAAATTTGAGTAACAAAGGTATGCTAATTATTGTATTGCCTGAAAGAGTGTCATTGCTATTAAAAGCAGTAAAGAATTCAAGTACTCTGGAAAAAAAAGATAAGAAAATACTTAAGTAAATGGTAATTATTTTTTATGATTTGTTTATGCATTTTGTATGGTATCTTAGTACAATTTATATACTTTAAATAAAATACTCTTTGAAGATTTTTTTGTAAATGACATTTTATATTAATTTAAGTCTAAACAAAAGTTACTTTAATTATTGCCAGGTTGTGGTTTTTGCAGGTCAATAATTCTCACAAATTTAAAGTTAAAGATGAATGAGATTGTATATGTTATTTACTAAGTATAGTTTTTTAAAATGGCCTAGCTGTAAAATTAAACTATGCAGGGAGAGGACAAAAAATTTGAATAGGAAAAATGTTGATTGCATATGTTGCTATTGGTAAGTGGTTTGGAAAAGTTTATTTTTTCAGTTTCAATTTTGCATTACAGAATTAGTTTCAATTTGTTATGTTTCTTTGGTGCATAATTAAACAAACAACTATTTTTTTTTGCAGAAACTGTGAAGTCAAATAAGCATGGCTTATGCAGACATGTGATAGAGATAGCGGAAGAATCGTGGGTACCAAATATCATAAGCTAAACACGATTTAATAACAAGTAACTCAGCCAATATCGAAACTACTCTATAAATTTTATAGTGAATTTTTTTATTTAAAACTCAATGTGTCAGTTTTTGGTTTAAGTTTGGTATTTGCAATATGTATATTTAAACGAGAAATTATGTTAAATAAATAAATTTTTATACTTGTATCATACATTCTTTTTTTTTCTCTATAAATTTTCAATGTAGCGATGCAAATCATCTTATTTGTAACAACTATCTAATGTTGCATAAAACGTTAGGCCGATATATATATGCGATATTGGGCCAATGTTGTATACAACGTTAGGCCGATTTTGTATACAACTTTGGGCCAATGTTGATTACAATATTGGCCTAACGTTATATTCATCGTTGTGCCAATGTTGGGTAAACGTTGTATACAACATTGGGCCAATACCTAATCAATGATCAAACCTGCATTGGGCCAATATCGACTTTCAACGTTGGGCCAATGCATCATCATGCATTGGCCAACGTTGGGCCAATGAAAGCTTGCTGTCTGGGGTACAACACCAAACGTAAAGTGAAAGAAACCACACCAAAAGCCAATGTTAAAAAAACACCATAAAATTGCTAGATTACAGTTTGCTAAAAATCATTTGCATTGGACTCATGAGTGGCAAAACGTAATATTTTCAGATGAAAAAAAGTTCAATTTAGATGGTCTGGACTCTTACAGTTGTTATTGGCGTGACCTAAGAGGAATAAATGACCCACAAACAAAACAAAATTATGGTAGAGGAAGTTTAATGGTTAGAGTTTTTTTATTCAGGAAAGTTGACTCTGTGTTGTGGTTTGCCTAAAATGTACTCAATAAAGTATACAGAAATGTTGGATGATGTTCTCGTAACTTATATGGATGAAAACATGGATACAGTAACAATAATGCCATATTTCAGCAAGATAATGTTCAGCAAGCTACAATTAACAAATCTAGGCATTCTATGAAATGGTTTAAAGACCACAACATCCCGGTTCTCGAATGGACAGCTTGTAGCCCGGACTTAAATCCAATCGAGAACGTGTGGCGAATGCTAGCAAGAAAAGTTTATGACGCCAAAGAAGCCGGAAACCAATATAAAACTGTTACTGAGTTAAAGTGTAAAATCCTTGAAGCTTGGTTCGAGTTGGATCAAACTATACTTCAACGACTAGTGGAGTCAATGAAAGGCAGAATTTTTGAGGCGATCCAGTGTAATGGAGGACATATGCATTTCTAATTTCCATCTTTTAATTTCAAAAATATGACTGCGTCTATAGATATATTCCAATTAAAAAATGTATTTTGTATATCAAACATATTCTCATGTTAATAAAGACACATAGAAAAATTTTTTTTGCGATTTTTATTAGCCCACAACACAACAATTATTTTGATAATAACTTGCATGCATATCAGTTGACTATTCATAGAAAAAAATTGACGCGTCTAGACGAATATGCCCCAGTGTGTGTGTATATATATATATATATATATATATATATATATATATATATATATATATATATATATATATATATATATATATATATATATATATATATATATATATATATATATATATGTAATGCATATATATATATATATATATATATATATATATATATATATATATATATATATATATATATATATGTAATGCATTATTTATAAAAAAATATTTTTTTATATTTATGTACTTTTTTATATATTTATTTATTTTATTTTTTTCAATTTATAAAAAAAAAAGTGTTTTTTTTTCATAAGTAAAGTATTGTTTATACAAAAAATAATGCATTACTTATAAATTTTTGTGGAATTTATTTTTTATAGTTGCCTCTTCTTCGTTGTATTTTAGTTTTTATTTTAGTTTGAGCTTCATGTTAGTTTTTATTTATTTTTTATTCTATTTATTATTCATTTGGTTTGTATATATACTTCATTAACGAAGTTAAATAATTAAAGACTATTTAATTTTATTTAACTATTAAATTTTAAACTAAGAAATTTTATTGACAAAAGATAGACATGTAACGATATTATAAAATATTAATTATTTACCTTGAAACTTTTAAATTAAATTTTCGAGATAGCTATTTTAAATCCAATATACCATGTACAAGTCCATGTTAAGTGAAAGCCGTTTCAATTCATCCTAACAATTACCTTAAAGTGCTATGCGGTTTATGACAAATGGAGTGTAAACTGTTTTAAGAAGTTTTTGTTTTTATTACAAGAAAATATTTTTATTTTCTTAATTTTATTTTATCTTCTTTTTATTTTTTATTATTTTTTCTTCTAATTTTATTTACATTATTTTATCTTCTTAATTTTATTTTACTATTTTACAGTAACGTATTTGTTGTCGAACAGTTTATTTTATATAAAGATTATCTTGAACAATATTTAATTTCTATTGGTATTTCAAACAATAATCAAATTAGTTACCATACTTCTGCTGAAACAATTTGTCAAACAAACGTCAATAAACAGCACACATGCAACATAAAAATAGAGTTCGTTTATCATTTTTAAATTTTTTTGTTTATTTTTTTTTAACAATAAAAAATAAAAAGGTGCGAATGCAGAAAGTAAATCAAAAAAAAAAAAAAAAAAATCAAAAAATGTGCGCAATGCTCAGAAACTTTTTATGATTTTAAAGCTATATATTAATGTATATCACAGCAATCTAAACTGCAGGTCTTTCTACTGTGTAAACTGTGGTTGTACCACAAATTTTAATAAAAAGAAACCTAATAATTTTAAAGTATTTTAGTTTTTTAACTTTTGAATTTTTTTTTTTTTTTTTGAATGTTACTTTTGGATTTGAATGTGAATTCAAAAGTTTAGTTAGATTATCTAATTTAGATATTAGACATTTTATTATTTCTTAATGCAATTAAAAGGCGGTTTTTTCCATTTAATAATCATTAATAAAAGTGATAAGTTTTGTCGCATAACCAAGGCCGGCGCGATGGTGGTGTGTGACCCCCATCAATGATTTTAGACGGCAAATTTGACCCCTTTTGACTAGTTAGTCGGCTAATGTAGACCCTTTCGGTAAGTCGACAAATGTCGTTATAGCAGTCGGAGGGCAGTCGGCAAATTTTAAAAAACGAGGACCTTTTTTTTTTTTTTTAAGTCGACAAAAGTTGTAATGGCACCCCCTCCCCCACGTGACACCTACTCGCGCCGGCCCTGCGCATAACATCATTATGCGCGATATAGAACAAAACAATGTCGCATAAACTATTACCATAGTGGGGTAAAATATCCTCAATAATGATTTACACAAAGGTATTTTGAAAACTGATATTTTTGACCGGATTCCTATATACTTAACTACTGCCCGCAACCACTGATCTCAAAATCACTGATCAGTGGCCTACAAATAAGATTAATTCAGACTAAACAATTAGATAACATTTTTTTTTAACTAGACCCAGTGCTCGAAGTGAGGTGGGATGCGGCAGGGTGACATCCAGTCACCCATAAAATGCTCACCCGCGGTGTTCTGTAATAAGACCGTAAGGACTTCTTGGGGCACCTAAAATAAAAATAAAAAATAAAATAAAAAAAAACAATTATCACTGCCAATTATTTCAATTATCACATTAAAATTTATAAGCTTTATTGAAAGCATATAATTTTTAATGACGATGCTGCATCTAGTTACAAAAAATATTTGGAGATACTACACATTGGTTTAAATGGTGGACATGAGTAAAAATTTAAAGTTTTGAAATTAAAATTTAATTTAATTTTTTAATACTTAAATGGCTTGCAGATTTAAAGTTAAATAAAAAAAGGTTAAAATTTTTGTTTATTTAAAAAAGGTTACGGCAATCCAAAGTTGAACAATTTGTAAGAAAAAAAAACAATTTAAAACCCAACAGAGTTTTCGAGTATACTCGGGAAAAAGTGATGAAAAGTAAAAGATTGTTGGTCTAAGATTTAGAAAATTATTATATAACAATAAGGGATAAAGAACCTACATTAAAATATATTTTTTCTGGCTATTAATAATAGTATTTCAGGAAGAAAGTTGGATAATTTTCATAAAAGTGATAAAAAAAACGTGAACTTTTAAACATGATTTTGCTGTAGTTTTGGAAAATTTCAGCCATTATCTCAAAAACCACTTATAGTGCTATACTAAACCTTATATGATTTCCAAATTAAAAATTAAAAGCTTTCATTTACTGCAATGCTTAAGTTGGTCTCTTCAGCGGTTTTAGAAAAAAATGAGTATTAAAATTTCCATCTTGAGGTTAAAGTTGAAGAATTTGGAATTGAAAAATTAACAAATACACATATGTTACAAAAATAATTTATTTACAAACAAAAAGATTCTTTAAAATATAATTAACTGATCCACTTCTGCGCATAAATAAGCGTTTAGAATGCCCTCTATCAAACAACTTTTGCAAAATTTTGCAAAAGTTGTTTGATAAAAAAAGACGCCCTTTGCACCGTTCTTCTGCAACTAACGGGTCATTCCCAAAGTATTTTGAAGCAATCTTCTATATTGACCCATTGAATAATTTTTCTTAATAGTTTTCCCTTGAAGTACTTGAGACTTTTATAATTAGCTTCCATTCCTTCTTTTCTCCAAGATTTCAAACCGGTGGAATCATTTATTTTTATCATCTTCCAGTCAGGAACAAAAATTATGTGCAGTGATTGAGTTATACTTACCCAATAAAATTCTTCTATAAGCAAAATGTTTAACTCCTGACACATTTGTTTGTATAGCTCAAACTTGTTTTTTTGCCAAATGACATTGCTCTCAGAATTTCGGAAAGAAACTAGCCATACTTTTCAACTAGCTTGCGGTCTGGTTGACTTGATATGTGATCTGTAATTACTTTTTGCAGTACAGTATTATGTAAAGGTTGTCTAGCAACATTTCCTGTTGTTGTATTCCCCCCTTGTCCAATGGATTTTGAAAAATCCTATTTTATTCCTGTTTTAACTTAATAATTGTTTGTAGTTCTGCTTTTTCTTCTTTCAGCACTGTTGTGTTTTTGTTTATCTTAGGTTCGTTCCAAGTTAAGAAACCTGCCGCCATGTAGACAACTACCTTCATAAAATGATCAAAGCTCCTGAGCAAATCATGTAAAACCTGAATGGATCTAACATTCAAATATGCAATCGGTATTGTAGTTTAACGGTGTCGAATGACGTAATTCTTTCTTTTTTTCAAAATGGTCAGGTCCTCTTTTACTAAGTTAAGAAATATTTGCTGCATGGATATAATATCCCTGTTTATGATGAAACCATCTTGAACTGTTTGTATATTTTCACATTTTTCTTTTGAAAGGTTATAAAGATCACAATATGAACCCCCAAGACCTTAATAAATATTTGAAGCCTTTCTGTCCAAATTACGAGCGCCAATGTTTACTTTAACACGGTATTGATTTTTATTATGCTCAATGATAATTCCATCTTCCTTCATCTAGTGTAAGTATGAAAAAAGATTTGATATTTTCATTTGACTCTTTCCCGATTTGAGTCATCTATATAAGGTTCGCAACTAGAACAAGTAAGTCTAGTCACTAGTGGAACATATTTAGCCGTAAATGCCTCAGAGTAAAGAAGTGATTGATTATATTAGAAAAAGTATTAATGTAATAGTCATACTACTTTGAACAGATGTTCAGTGTTAAAGCAAGTAATTAAGAAAAGAGAGTGGGAACAGTATATCCGTCTTATTATTTAATTTGTTTTTTATTCTTGTTTTATTTTTATTTTATTTTCGAAGCTAGGCAAAATCATGGCTAAATTAAACATTTTGTGATTATTATAGTTCGCAGCGAGAGCAAAAATTATAGCCGTATGATACGGTTTCAAAAATATAACAAATAATAGTTTGACATAAAATTTCGTTTACAAAAACTTTTAAGTCAGACTTTTACATTTGTATCTTTTATGAAATCATACAATAACTAATAAATATACTACAACTACAATGATAATAACTTTTAGTGTTTATATTACACTATAATTTATAGTTTCTGAGTATTAATTAGTTATTGTAGGATTTAAAAACAAGAAATTTTACCTAGTATAACTATCCTATAATATTTTTGCAGCTGGATCTTTATAGAGTCCTTTTTGGTGTCCTACAATTATTAAACGATTTTTTTAGTTCATGAAATGTAAAAAAATATTTTTAAAACATATTGCGACCATGTAATTATTTTAGAAAAGCTAACGAATTTTCTTTTTAGTGTCTCTTTTTTATGTTTTTCAGTGTTGTTTTTTTGTGTCCTTGATATATTTTATGATCTTGTGAATATTTTTAACGGATAAGTCATATCTAACTGACGTAAAAACATGTATTATGACTTTATATAAGAATCCTGAAATATTTTTAAGTTGCATGCTTTAAAGCATCCTTTCGATGTCCAAGAGTTATAGTGCAATTATGGTGATGAACATGGGAATATTTGTAATGGATAAAGCTTGAAACGTTACCCTAATAAAAATGAATTTTGATCATGTATACCTATCTGAAAAAAAGTTATTACTGACTTTTTTTAGGTTGTTTTACAGTGCGTTATTTTGGTTTCCTAGAGTTAATTTTCCAATGGGCACCGGACCAAAAAAAGACGTCTTTTGAGCGTCCAAAACGTTCAAAGGACGTTTAAAAGACGTCCAAAATGTGTATAAGACGTTCAAAAGACGTCTTTTTTACGTCCGTGTTCACTGGGTTGGTAGTCCTCAAGAGTATTTTTTAATGATTGAGCTTCAAAAATTTAGCTAAAAACATATATCATGACCATGTTTTATTTTCACACGCCAGTTAAAGAGATTTTTGCTAAGTATAGTCAAATGCCAACAAAAAGTGCAAAATAAACCACTGTGCACTGTATTCTCTCTACAATGCCAATTATTGAAACAAAAAAATAACATATAATACTATAAAACTGTACATGCATGTACACTTTGGATTGCCAAGTATTTTAAAAAATCATTAAAGCCTAATCAGAATTCTGCGGCCTTGGCACAATTGTTAAAGCGCTTGCTTTATAAGCAGGAGATCCAGGTTTGAAACAAGCTTTGGACATATTTTCGCGTCAGGGTAAAGAAGAAGGTGTGAACTTCCTGGGTAAATGCACTTCCGCGGTGCTCTGAGACAAGGTCATTAGGTTTTCTTGTGGCACCTAAAAAAATATATACTATATAAAAAATATTTAAAAAAAAATCGCCGGAATAAAAAAGGATTTTAATTGTCTGTTTAAAAAAACTCCTTAAAATTTAATTTTTCTTTTTACCTCTAACCTACTTGATAAATATAAAAATAACTCAAAACGCACTTGGGAAATAATGAAAGAAATTATTGAATAACAAGAATCTTGCTCAGGTTTCCAAGTCATTAAAGTTAATAACAATTGCATTTATAAGCCAAAAGAATTTTATAATAATTTTTTTTACAAAACTCCTTAATTAAAACAAAATATTCCAAATACCCAAACTGTATTTATTGGTTTTTTAGTACCAAATAATGGTTATTTCATTACTAAGCATTACTTCTAATAAACTGTCTTCATTAGAAGTAATGCAAAAATTGCTAAACTTGAT